GCGCCGTCGGGGCCCCCGCCTCGTCACCGTCCAGTTGCTCGAAGAGCTCGCGATCCCCGAAGTCCACCTCAGCCGCCATCTTAGGCTGCGGCAGGAAGGGGGGGAGCTGGGGCAAGGGGCAAAGGGCAGAGGTAACCGCCGCCTCAGCAGCTCGAGGAGTGAAGGGGTGGGGGGAGGTGAAGAGGGCCCTCCCATGGAACGGCCTCGTTACTGTAGAGTGAGGTGGCCTCTCAAGACTACAAATCCCGACATGCAACAGCACAAATTAATCATAGCGGGGGCTTATGGGCTAACGGCGCTTTAGAAGGTAGCGTTATGGGGGAGGAGGGAGTGAAGAAAAGCAAGGAGAAATGCATGTTGGGATTTCTAGCTTCCCCGTTAGGTTCCAGGCGGCGAGGTGTATGCTGGGATTTGGAGTCCGCAGGGCATCGCTTAGTAAACCAAACGAAGATTTTCTCTAGGCGGATCACTGCAAAGTCCAGGCTCGAGGCAAGAGGACGAGTCGGCGCGTGATGGATCTTTCCTTGGATGAAATGTTGGGACCACCATGCGCCGCCCGTATCATGGAAAAGGACACGTTAAAATTCGCACTGCAGTGACACCCTATTTCCTTAATTTGCATCCTGCATTTTAGACTCGCTTGCCTTGACTCTTCTGTAAATAGGGCTGCCTGGGGGTAAATAACTGTCCTCTTTCTCTGAGAAGAATTATGTAGGGCAAGAAATAAAAATAACCCTGCAGATGTATTTGGCAGAACAAATGCAGCGATAATTGATGGCTCTTTACTCCATCTTCTCTCTGTAATCCAGTGGTTTTAAATGTCTGTTTCTAGTCTGAGAGGTGTAAATTGACCAAACCTGCTCTAAAACAAGTGACAAACCAGTACAGATGTGGAAGAAGGCAGTGGATATGTTATTTTGCAAATCAAAAAGAACTAACAAGACTCATTTTATGCTTTGATCAATTTACTTAAGCTCTGCTTCTTGGTTTTTAGAATGGAATCTTTAGATAGGGATTATCTACTTTTGTCTGTGTCCATCAAAATGAGGATACAATTCTGTCAAGAGACTTTGATCACCACCACAATAAATACACACGAATGCATAGAAGTCTCCAGCTTCTCATGTAAAAATACACAGGCAGAGTGCCAATTTTACTCTCCTGTGGTGAAAAAGATCGCCAAAGTTGGTAAAAGATCTTTCAAGATGCGCACACTAGAAAAACAAAGTAAGTAGTGCTTAAAGAAGCAAATAAATGATTTAAATTGAGATAAAACCCACATTTTAAAGGACAGCTGCTGTATGTAGCACATCTTATTGATACTACACATTGTAATACAAATCTCTACCCATAGTCTGTACTTTAACTAGAAAATTTATATAGGTACCTTGCTCTGCCTGGTCGAAAGATAGGAACTGAGAACAGACCACCAAAGAGCTATTGTTATATTTTTAGTAAGTGCACAGCTATAAGGCCTGGATAAGAGTTCTCCTCCCCCTTTTGTCAGTAACTTCTTGAAAATATTTCTTTCAGCTGGACTGTTTGCTTACTTCAAAGGATAGGTACTACTGGTTTTAACAGATGTAGGCAAAGATACTCCGCAAAGTTGCCACAAAAATCAAGGGTACCAGATTGCACTGAAAGAATGTAATAGCCAGCTAAGATTTCCTAAGCAGTTCACATTTCAAATTTTAGGTTCTGCAAATCTAGCACTGGATGCCACTAAACACTAGCAAGTCTTCTAATAAACAATGACTAATAGAGAAATCTATCATAATGAAAAAAGCACACTTATTTTTCCATCACCCAGTACTCCAGAATTTTGGTTCTAGCATACTTTCAAGATTGACACCAGGATATTACATTCAACTTTATTATATGTTGGGGATGGACAACATCTTCCACATGCCGAGGAACTTGCAGCCACACAAATCTACACTGGATATTCTGCGAAGGCATACAGGTTTGTGCCTGTACCCTTTTTTGCAAGTTATTTTAGGAAAAGACAAATTAGAGTTCTGTTTTTAAATAAAACTTTCTGCTTTTTAAAAATCAACATCTCAATACATTTTATTTCTTTATATACTGATATGTAGTTTTCAGATAGGGGACGGGTTAGATCAACCATAAGAGTCACCGCGATTTGCTTCTGTAAAATATGAGAGGCATAAGTAGTCAGCTAGAACTCAGACTGACATGGCAACATGTGAGCTACTTCTTCATTTCAGCACAAAGCTCAAGTGGTGATGTGGTAGTCGAGTACAGCATTTCTCTATTCCAAACCCCTTGTGAGGTGGCAGAATAGATTCTTACCTCATATCCTCTAATAGGGTGTAGCAGACAGGAGGCCTGTACCTTCAGCTAATCAAAGTCTTCATGTTTCTCAGTTTATTGCTCTGTTTTAGCTCATGAGGAAGAAGAAAACTTATGCCTCTCTGCCACCAAGTGTAGGATTCCAGCGTAAGTTGAATTCATTGGATAGGGTGCTGTACCAGCACTTTTTTAAAAAAAATTTAAGAGTAGAATTAATTTGGGTACAAATTTTAGATAGTGATACTATCTTTGAATCCAACACTGGCAAGTACCTAGCCACCAGGAGACTAGAGAGGAGAGCATTTGGCTAAGGATGAAGGAGTCAGAGCAATGGGTGTATTTCACTCATGAAATGGTTAACACCATGCTTAGTAAGTACTGGGTTTTCAAGACCTGTTAATAGAGAGGGATGTTATCTCATTTAAAACTTTGACTGAGTCTGCCAGTCTGAGTTTTAAATAGAGACACCTACCTCTCTCCCTTGTGCTCTGTGTCTGACCCACAGAAAAATTCGTCAGGGGCCGGATACTATTGAGAAGAAAAACAAAACACTCCAACCCAACCAAATCAAACAAACCCCAACTGATGTGGCCCCTTAACTGAGAAGGAGAAAGACACTCCCTCTCATTCCCT